AAGGAGAAACAAAGACAGATATATGAGTTAGTTTACCGAGATATATGACTCTTAGTTTACCAAGAGACTGGAAAAATCGGTTCTTACTGGGATAATAGAAATAAAGCGAACGTGTATTTAATCGGAGCTTTGTTGTTTTGAAAGAGAAAAAAGCGTGTAAATTTTTACAATACGAAAAACAAATTTGGTTGAATTAATCGGATATCTGACGAAGTTTGAACAAACCGAAATTCCGGTTGAAGTTATCAGAATTCTGTTCAAGTGAAACAAGATTCTGGTTAATCAAAATTTCATTGACTTAAACAGAATTTTCACGTTCATATACTTCTCGTAAATTTAAACAAATTTCTTTTTTTCATGTGCGCCTTTAGAGTGTGTATAAGGTAATTTTAGTAATTTAAATAAGGTTCTCATTAGGTCCCACTTAGTATAACGTTATTTTTCACGCAGGTATAACAATGCACCTGCAATACGCATACCTTTCTGTCTTAATATAAATGGACTTTTTTCGACATGATATCGTAAAAAAATTAGATAATATATAATATATTCTGTGTGAAATATATTTTCTATATTATTCTAATTTTCTATTTTATCCTAATATCTAGTTTTATTCAATAAAAATTCGATTATATATTTTGCTGCACCACGGAAAAAAATACATTATTCAATAGTTTTATCCATTATTCTTTTTTATCGTCAAATATAGAGAAAGTATTTAAAAAATAAGAAATATTAATTCAATGAGATATATATTACTAATAATGCATATTTAAATTCTTTTGTCTAAATCTGAATTCTTTCATTTTAAATAGAATAAATAGAATAAAAAACTGTTTTTACGAATATCTTCGGTTAAAAAAAAAAAATATATATATATATATATTTTTTTTTTTTTTACTCCCGACTCCTTACTGCCAACTGAAGGTTACTTTTTATCTTATTTAAAAATATTTTATAGAATATGAAATAAAAAATATTTCAATATAAGTAAATATGTTATAAGTATCTACCGAATAAATATTTTTCATTTCTTAGATATTTCAGTGTATAAGATAAATGTTCCTTATTCAAATTGCTAGAATCATCCTTCCTATGAATTTTTTGGAAAAAATCCTCTCATTAAATTCTTTTCAGACGTAAGCTACTGTTTTTATTTAGTGCCAAATAATTTTTGTATTTTGGAAAACGAGCGCGGTTCCTCTTTCTTAACACTAATTAATCACTTTTACATTTTGAACCCGCGTTGTTTTCGAAACGACTCGCGTTCGATGGAAGCGACGAGCGTTGCGACAGCGTTTCACGAATTGCGTCCTACATGGACGGCGACTTTCTTCAATTTCCAAATACCGGATGCACGAAAGTCGTTGACTCGTAAAACCGTCGACGTGTCAATCGGCAATTTCTTCCGTGTCGTATCTGCATGGCCGCGCAACAATGTTGCTGTCAGATGCGGCATGCATTATTCAATGTACCCGGAAGGCCACCTCGGAAGGTCCACTGAAGTCTCTCTCTATCTCCCTCCCCCTCTCTCTCTCTCTCTCGCTCTCTCTCTCTTTCTCTCTCTTTCTTCTCTTCTCTCTTCTATTCCCTCCGACTTGTATATTTCTTTTTTCTACTGTTTTCTCTGTACTTCTTGATAAATCTCGCAGAAATGTGCTAATTGCGCTTAGCAAATGAAAGAGATACTTCATAGGTACGTCGGTGTGTGCGTGCGAGCGTGTCAATAGTATCGGTTATTAAGCCTCTCTATGCAGAAATATAAATTGCAAACGAATAAGTTGAGCATCTTTCATGTAGTTTGCAAAATACTTAATACGTTCGCGTTAACTTAATCCTCAATTATTTGCGACCGTCTCGTTTACAAGAGAATATAATAAGAATGAAACACTACGTGGAAGGATTCAAAATGCGCGTATAACGCACATACTTTGTTCATGTAAAATTGTTCTTTAGAAACATGACATCTAATCAGAGAAAAAAGAGAAGACAACGCAATTCTTTTTAAGCATTTAGATTGAAATTGTAAGAAACCGTAAGAAACCGAAGAAAATATTCAGAAAAGAAAATGTGTGAATGTAAAGTATCACGAAATATTGTACACAGCAGACTTCTCGCATCGCGGTAATCCGTAAATAACCTAACCTAACAGAGAAATTTATGTGAGACAGACAGAAAAAATTAAAGAAAAGGAGGGAAGGAAAGAGGCGGAAGAGAGAGAAAGAGAGGGGAGAGAGAAGCGCGAACACGCGCGGATTTTTCTTCGTTTATTGGGAGTGCCGTGTAGCGCGGTGTAAGGTGGCACGGTAGCTATTAGAAGCAGGACGTAACCGTTCAAGAGCGAGTGTTTAGCCGAGCCTTCATAAATCACGCAAGGGCGACAAGCAATTATAATAACTGTACCCGAGTATAAACGCGTAAATAAAATACCAAGCCCTTCGGCCGGGTAATGAGGCACACGAAGCGGCGGGATGCTAACCAGTTCCAAGACTTGTTATCGTAGCAGAATAAACAACGAGGGAGCACTTTCTCGAAAGGAAGTTCGTCTCGATCATCGATGCTTCGCGTCTCCCGTAAGGCGCGCGCCGCGATAATAACTGTACCGAACTAAAATAGAATGTATTATTGCGATAAATCATCCCCATCGATCGCGTGTCGCGAAACGACGATATATTGTAACACATACACCAGCAGTTCTATCAGACCGAGTGGATCAGACCGAGTTGTGAGCAGTGTTGAGGATCGATCGATTAAAATTTTTCTTTGACTAAGATAATCGGCAAGTCAGTAATCAGAATTAACCAAACGTCATATATAAAATCACAAGTAATTTCATATTACATATATCGATTGATGAAATTAATTATTACACAAACTTTGATGTGATTGATCATACACTGATTAAAATTCTTTTTCATTAAGATAATCGGCAAATCAATCATCAAAATTAATCAATCCTCATATATAAAGTCACAGATAACCTCACTGATCGATAAAATCAATTATTATTCAAACTTTGATGTAATTGACTATGCAATAATTAAAATTTTCTTTGACTAAAATAATCAGCTACTTAATAATAAAAATTAATCAGTCTCGTCATACAAACAATTTCATTAATTGACGATGTTGAATATTAATAAATGTATAATCAATCATATCAGAGTTCAATTCATAATTAATTCCATCAATCGATGAAATTATTTATGATTTTTAATATGATGATTAATTAATTTCAATCATTGATTTGCCGAATTGAAAAAAAAATTTAATCAATTTATATGCCTAACATTAATTGCGAGTCATCTACCGCGAAGGAGGGAATATTGATTTCTCTTTTTCGAATGCAGAAGCCGATAAATCATCTGTTAATTTTAATCCGTGAATCAGTATCAATAAATAAAGATCAGACCGAGTCCCGTTGTGAGATATATCAAATGTGACGAAAATGAATTTGGATAAAAAAAGAATTGCTCACGACTCAACCCACGATGCGTATTTCTGACTATTTTCTATTATTTTTACGACTGTTTACTTTCTTCTCTCGTGTTACGCTACAATACACGTTCCGCGTTATATAACACTGTTTATTTACTGGGAATTATGCGTCTATTTAAATAGACGTCCAACTCTTGAACAAGGCACACACACGCACAAACACGCGTATGCGCAAGCACACATACGTATACCTGAAGCGAACATAGACCGTGATATCGAGCTACCCACGCCAGTCATCTTCCGCGCGAGGATATTCGGAGAGAAAGCTCCGAAGAGTCTCTCAAGGTCACGGGGACCTCATCGACCGTGGAACTCGAGTCGAGTTTCAGATTTCAGCGAAACGAACTCAGCGGATTTTGTAGGTGGGAGCGAAAGGATCTCTCTCTCTTTCTCTCTCTCTCTCTCTCTCTCTCTCTCTCTCTCTCTCTCTCTCTCTCTCTCTCTTTCTGTTAGGGATATGGCGAAGAGAGAACTTGCGCACGAGGCCGTGGCGAAGGGAGGAGGGACGCGCGGAAGAGAGAGGAGCACGAAGTACATCGTGCCGCTCGCCATAACCTTTTATCAGTTATCTAATTAGCCGTTGCATTTAATTAGCGACCCGAGGAGAGGGCCACGAGATAGCCCTAGCGCCGTGCGAGACCGGCGCGGATACGAGCCTGCATGGCTATACGTAATTTTAATCGGCTCTCACGTCAGATAAGAAAGGTCGACGGATGGACCGGCATCCGCGCTCGCGCGCGCGCACTTCGCAATTAGCCGTGTTTTTATTTATACGGCTATTCGCGCCGCTTATTGAGCTGGTACTCGCGTGTACGAGAGAGAGAGAGAGAGAGTGAGAGAGAGCCGGCCAGCATGAAGCCATTCGATCGGTCGGCAAAAATTTTAAGGGCCTCTAAGGATACGATGTTGTATGCCATTTGAAACTACGAGAGTGAAGAACATTACGTGGACCATAATTCCACGCTAGTTGCGTACAAGTTCTTGGCTAAAAAGTAATTTCAAAACTGGGAGCAGTGCAAGATGCTTCCATGTCCGCGAGTGATTTGAAAATGGGGTTAATGTTAAAAAGAAAAGTTCGACCGACTTTATCTCGGGCTAACGCCGCATGAAATTTGATTAGTCTTTTTCGTCCACGTGACTTTTTTAATAAGATTCTGTTCGACTTAAGAATTTTTATACTAAGAGGAAAAATGTTTAAGAACTAAAACATATTTATTAGATGTTTGATATAAAACATCTTCCAAAATTTTCTAAGAAAATATTGAAATTTTTACGAAAGCGATTCTTTATTCTATTTAGATAAAAGAATTCAGATTTAAGTAAATATATTATCAGTACACCGAATTAATATTTCTTATTCTTCAGATATTTTCCTACAGTGTATTCGTTTTTTTTTAACGATTTATGGCGATACGTCAACAACTTTCTATGCAATGGATCTGTCAGTGAATCGTGCGTAACGCAACTCCGTAGAAGATAATATTCATTTGAATCAGACTCACCAGTGACGAATCTTCGATGAAAGCTCCGATGGTTATCACATGCAGAACGATTTCGCGAGTATTTTCAAGCTCATCCGGTGGCGAGTATGCGCCTTCACTCAGGAAGTACGGCTCAGTGCTGGTCACTCTGTCAACAATAGAAATAGCATATTGTAGTAATAGTTTTATGAATATCTGCAATGTTTGTTAGATATGACTTAAAACTGTGACAAATAAGCATAATATATATTTCGTCTGATTTAAGGCTATTATTGTTTCAAAAGCCTTCACAAAAAATCAATACGTTCAAAAAAGATAAATTTAATAACGACAAAATTTCTTAACGCTTTAAGCTAGGATACTTGTCCTTACATTTATCCAATATTACAGAACTAGTCGCAAATGGTCGTTACCTGTCGAGTTCTCAACTGACGTTGGAATTTAAAAAAGGCCGCATCAATCGCGGCGGATATCACAGCAGATAACCGCCTTGCGCGAATATCACGGACAAGCAAAATTACCAATCTCTAATCCACCGTGACTATATCCTTACAACGCTCGTCTCGATACACGGAATGTCGGATGGCGCTCGGGATAATCGTCGAGCGAACGAGCGCCTTGCAACGCGCGTATTAGAAAATAACGGACGCTTCCGTGGACGCAATGAGTCTCACCAAGTGACGAATAGAGAGAAGCACGTTTACTCGAATCTACTCAATACACTGACATAGCTGTCCGACTCGATGATTTCCTTAAACAGACAGGGCGGCGGAGGACGCAAGGCGATCGCGATTCGGTTCCGCGGCGCGCGATTGGAAAAAATAAACTCTTTTCACTCGACGCGACGAATATCGAGAGCCGCAATCATAGACGTAATATACATGGACTCCGCATACGGCCAGAAGCCAATATGTACAGCCCCTCTGTGTTCTCTGTCTCTTTCTGTACAAAGTGTGTAATAAAATTTAAGTAAGACTTTGACTTGCCAGTCCAGTCGGTGTGCTGTTGCGCTCTATAATATTATGGAAACGAGAAATGGATGCACGCGCAACAAAAAAGTGACAAAATAGGAAGAAAACTGTAGCCCTCTATAACCCTCTATAGTTCTCTTTCTAGATGTTGGCTTCACTCTATTAGATGACAGAACATAGGGTACTCAGAGTCCATGTATACTATGTCCATGGCCGCGATAATCGCGGTCGTTTGAGCCCACTGATGCACCGAAACGATTACCTGTTGTTAGACTCGACAGTCCTCGTTCGCCCACGGACAGGACGACGCGAAAAGCCGAGGGTGGAAGTGATCGCGATCCAGTTGCATCACGCGTCTCAGCGAAAGGGCTCTTCCGATTATCGTTGATGCACCGACCACCGGCCAAGTGACGATATCGCAAGACGCGTTAATTGCGTTCGCCGGAGGTAATTGACACGCCGAAACGATTCGCCCGTCGCCGGATTCACCGTTTTCGACGCTTGTTCCTACTCGTGAGCGCGCAGGATCGTGAAACGACCAAGGAACGAGAAAGCGATCGCGATTCACGATTGAGAACCGAGGTGGCGGTTTCAAAAATTGTGACGTCACGCGTTCAAATAGACACGGCGTCCTCGGCCGACCGCCCGCGGTGTTTTTGACGCGCGTTATGTTCGCGTTATTCGCGTGGATTATATACATTTTTACACGATATAGAAGGTGCATGTGTTAACAAATAGTCTGGATATTAGATTTGTGACGATAACGAGGAAGAAATGTCTTTTACTGGCTCCTAATATGGTATAATATTGAAAGTTGTCAGTTAACGCGAGACATACTCATTGTGTGTAAAAGTTGTATGATTTACACATAGAAAAAAACATCTGTTCTCGGAACAATATTATTATTTATGCATCGTCTTGTATCATCTAGTGACATTCGGAATCTCTCTCTTTCTCTCTCTCTCTCTCTCATTATTTATTTAGAATTCTATGTTACTTCTTGTATAATTAGGATTGAGATACTTATTCTTATTAAATCGTTAAAAAATCGTGAATAAAGGGAGGAATAATAAATGAGTACACAGAGAGAACGATTTATTGAATCAAATAAATTTCTTTGGAATAGTCCAAACAAATTATTTGGTTGACATAACAAAAATATTTCTTTGGAACTAAGCCGCAAATAAATATTTTTGTTGCTTCAAACAAAATTTTGTTCGATTAATCAAAAAATTTGTTTGGACTATTCCAAAAAAGTATTTATTTGATTCAACCAAATCGTTCTCTCTGTGTACAAATTGATGCTGTAACACATAAGGATTATAATACATACCAATTGTTATAATATATATATTATAAAAATTATATATGTAAATAGTTAAATATTATAATATCAAAATATTAATCAAATAATATAAGTACTAAATAGTGTAATATATAAATAGTATAAATATCATGATATTATAATAAGGAACAGGTCTTGTGATTTTCATTTTCCTAACGGTCCTTTGCGAGGAAATAACGCCGAGACTAACGACCGACGCTTGAGTTAATACCGTACTATCGCAACTAATCATCATGATATCGAGATGTAATCTCAACGTATAATCGCACGTGTGCTTAGGCTATCGTGCAAAATGCACTATCTTTATTTAATTGTATTGCATATGACGTGTTAAATGCTCGCAAAGTCAATATAACGTGCGGCGTAGGAAAGCACGAAAGAAATAAGTACAAGTAAACGAGTAACCAGTAATTCCTGAAGTTACAATTGTTAATGAAATGTCGGATTATAAATACTAAATTTGATAAAAATCCCGAATAGAGGATTATCCTCCAATAATCTTGATGTTGACATATATTATCAAGAACATGCTCCTAAGTAACCATCAAGAGGTTTTAGCCGTCGCTCATTATTTATTAAAAAATTATTAACAAAAGAAGTTCTATAAATAGGACGTAATTTTGCAACACAGTGTATATTTAATAAATTTAAAAAGTACATTTTTACATACATAAAAATATAGCAAACAGTTTCATAGAACTTCTTTTGTTAATAACTTTTTAATAAACAATAAGCGACGGCTAAAACCTCTTGATTGTTACTTAGGACGGTTAGTTCTACATATAATACATGTCAAACATCAAGACCGTTGGTGGGTAACCCTCTATTCGGCATTTTAATTTTCTGCATAATAAACAATTCGACTCACCTGGAAATATATGATATATCACTGCTTACGTTTCGGCGTCCCAAATGGAGAGATGAATGTTAATTAACGCGATACTAACTTCAACGTGCGAATGTCGACGTAATATTTGGGTATCTGATTATTCGGATATGACGAGATCTATTCTGATTTGAAAACTCAAAACCGCACTACTTGGATTCAAGTTCAGACTATAAGAAGATCGAAACACAAATTTAGAACCGAAATCCTAGACCAAATTTGTATTAAATAAAAAACAAAAAAAAATAGATATGCAAAAATATTAGTCAATTTAATAACAAAATTACCCGAAATAGTTATTATTTTTTTATAAAAACAGACACAAACGTGCTAGTCGCCAAATTGCAGTGAAAAAATACTAATTTACTGACATATATCTTCAAGAGAGATTTAGATTGCTACGAACGCGTTTGTTTGGTCGATCGTCCTGCGAATTTACCAGGATTCGAATTAAATACTTCGACTGTTTCGGTATCTCAGAAAATAAGAAGATAGTCTCAGATAACCCGAATAAAAAACGTCGCATTTGTTTACTATTGGAATAATTGAGTACTATCCGAATATAAGGTAAATGTCCCAATAACTAAACTATTAAGAAAATAGTTAACTATAACTAATAATAAGAAAGCACGATCAGTTTTGTATCTGCATTGATAAGCAATTAGTGAAAAGCAAAGAAAACTAACGCCTATATAGAACCTTGATTTGTCAGCGATGGGGAAATAATAAGAAATAAAGTAATCAATAAATATCAATTATATAATTTAACGAGATATATCAAATATGCCAGTTGTACCAGCAATTGAACTGAAAAACGTATCATGTCCTACTGAACAATACTTGGTAATCGAATAGTCATTAAATAATATTATTACAAATTAGCATAAGGAAAATTTCAGAGACCTTTTTAGAAATATTAAATACAAATATATTTTTAATGTTTCAATCATTGAGACAAGATTCAATTATTGGGACATTTTCCCTAGAGTGTTAGATTTCCAAAAGTATCAAAGCTCTACTTCGTTCAGTTATCCGTTCAGCGTTACTGACACAATGCTACGCGTGCTTAACGGTTGGGACGGTCGTAAACACAGTACCGCGACGCGCACGAGTCCTAAAAACAATCGGCGGAACATAAACATACTCCTCCTCTCCCCCGTCTACCGCCGCGCACTACAGTCGTCGCTTATCAGTGAGCGTCACGCGGTCAGACAATGAAGACGTTAAAGACAGTCAAAATTGATCTGTCTAATTTAAAGACTTTTCCGTTCAGTTTCGAGCCGGCCAGCGGCACGAGTACGATAGGACTATGTGTGTGTGTGTTATCTATTATTGCTCTTCACGGTCGAAACATTCAGAACCTCTCAAAGCGGCTAATACTACAATTCTAAGCAGAATCGTAAGTCTCGCAACTTGTTCACGTAAAACTCGTAAGACTTATGAGTAGAATTCTCTGCGTACCATATGTCGTACAATCACTTGTGAATATCGTAAATTACATGAAATCGTAGATATTTACGAGTAATCGTACGACATACGGTACGTATAGAATTGTAGATCTACTCATAAGTCCTTATGAATTTTATGAGAGCAAGTTACGAATCTGTTTAGAATTGCAGCATAAATCTGCCTTTGTGTCGCGCGAATTTTTCCTTCGGTCCCGAGCCGACACGCACACGACAGGGCTACGTGTGCGTCGGTGCGCGTTATCTATTATTGTTTCTCTCGAGTGAATAAACTGTTACTGGACGCCGGGTGATAACGATCGAGACACCGCGGGCCTTCAAAGCTCTCGAGCATACTCTCCGTGAGTCGCGCGTTTTTCCGAGTGTTTTCATTGCGAGCGACACGCATGCCACACGGACTATGCGTGCCGGTTTTATTTCTAATTCCCCTCGGGTAATTAAAATATTTGGCCAGCTCGTGAAATATCTGGACTCTCGTCGGCAACGCGTTATTTAGCACGTGCATTTCGAATCGTACGCGAGTGTCTATATGTGCGTGTGTGTGTGTGTCAGTGCCACGGCGACAACCAGAATGCTGGGTCGGCAACCAGGACGGGTGACGCAGGATGCCGGGGGACGCAGACAGCGATACATCATGTATTTCCAAGGTACGTCAAGTCATTTATTATGAAGGATAATTCCGATTTTAACGGGTGTTTGATGAACACACTGAAAACAAAGAGATACGAGTCGAAATTTAGGCTAGTATTCATAGTCCGTCATCATTTGACAAGTAATTACTGCTTTATCTCCGAGATCACTCATTAATCTGTGTTTATATTTATTATACAATTTTATGTGAGAGATATTGATGCCAACATCCGAGTAACGGTGGCATGGATACAAATGTTGACGTCTGATAATGCTTCCTGAATCACAATTCGGTTTATATTTGCCAACGTTTTCAATATTACATCTCGAGACTCTTCACTGATTCTTCAAGTTTGACGGAATTTGCAGGATTAATGCAGAAACAAAATTTCGTCTCGGGAAATATCAAAAATCATTAAAGTAGATAATGTTAGGATTTAATATTAGAGTTTAATGTTAGAATAGAAAGGATCTATATATTTGTAACAACACTCATTAGATGATATAAGTTCCAACGACCAAAAAATACTTCTTAATGCATTTTTGACAGCTTTACGCGACAATCGAATCTACACAGAGAAAATACTGCAGTAAAAATTATAACACAATTTTAGAATCTTGAACCACATAATAAAATCAATACAATAAACAGAATTATGACTATACAGTAAAATAAGATTATGACCGAAATTATTATATATTTGTTAAACACGCGTTTTTGACTTGCTACTACAAATTATTATAATTATTTTAATCTTATTTTATATCATATTTGGCAGATCGTCAAATTTATTATTTTTATAGCAATTTATGTTACAATTTCAGTACAGTTCAGCTTTACACAAAACATTTTAAAAAGAAATATATTTTAATGTAATTTTTATTACAATATTTTCTCCGTGTATTTAAAATGAATCTAAAATCGTCATGCGATGCTCGATAAGAAGAAATGTTAGACTAAACCTTTCAAAATGTTTCCATTCTGGTAAACAAATGTTTTCACAATTGATTGGACTTGCATATTGCACATTAAAAAAAGAAATATTCGAAAATTTACTTGTGAGATATAAAGTTTGTTTCTATGAAATAAAATTTATTTCTGTGAATAAACATTATATCTCACAAATAAATTCTTAAGTATTTTTTTTCTCAGTGCACACTAATTTTTTGCACATTAATTACAAAATAAATGAAAAAAAACTTGATTAAACTTGCATATTGCCCACTGAGAAAAAATTTACTTGTAGGATGTAAAATTTATTTCCGTGAATAAACTTTATATCTCACAAGTGAATTTCAAGTATTTGCTTTTTCAGTGTGCACGAATTGCACATTAATTGCAGAATAAATGAATAAATAACTGAGCAAACTTGAATACTGCACACTGAGAAAAAATATTCAAAAATTTACTTGTGCATAGAAAAAAAGATTTGGTTGAATTAAACAAATATCTGGTCGAGTATAAATGATCTAGAAATTCTGACTGAAGTACTCCGAATTCTATTTAAGTTAACAAGATTTTTGGCAGACTAACCAAACATTTCTGGTTATTTAACCAAACATTTAAATAACCAGACATGTTTGGTTAGTCTGCCAAAAATCTTGTTAACTTAAATAGAATTCGGGTTACTTAAATCAGAATTTCTAGATCATTCATATTCGACCAGATATTTGGTTATGGATATTAAATGAAATTAATTCCTGTGAATAAACTTTATATCCCATAAGTGAATTTCTGAAGTATTTTTTTCTCAATAATTGCACACCAATTGCAGAATAAATGAAACTCATCCTAAGAAATGAACTCTTTCTCAATCTCATATCACCGGTCATCACGATCTCATTCGACATCTTTACACTCGTGTCCGCTAGTGCCTCGCGCGATACGCAAAAAGTATATCTCCCGAGTGACGCGGCTTATTTGTCTTTCAGCAATTACGTGAGCGGGGAATTTATTCCGCGAGCATTCCGAGGTAAACGGGCCACATCGCGATAAATCACCGAACCTTGCGGGGGCCGATATCCTTCTTCTCGCCTCTTTTGCGGGACATTAATCTTTGCGCGGTACACCACTTTCCTCGCCGTGGTTATGTGTGAAAGTGCGAGTGCTCATGGCGACTAACGTGCGTACTCCGCGCGCCGCTCCCGGGTCACGACAAGTATAATAAATATGTTCCTTCTCCGTCCTCTCTAAGATGCTTGAAGAGAGAGGGAAGGAGAAAGAGAGAGAGAGGCCGCGGGTAGGTGAGAAAAATCGAGCAGTTTGAACAGGCCGAGATTGCGTGGCCGGGCAACATCAATTTCGAGGGTGATTCCCGGCTCTGTCGGAAGAGCCTCGAAAATTTCGAATGCCCGCGTAATCGAGGAGCCTCCTCGAATCGAGTGCGTGGAGGTGCTCTTACCGAGGGATACCTCCACCACTGACGCTACCTCTCTCCTCTTCTCACCCTTTTCTCCTCCTCCTCTTCATGTTCCTCTCGCTCGTCTCCTTTTCTTCCTCGCTTTCTTGTTCCTTCGGCCTCCTTTTTGATCGTCGTTTTTTCCATCGTCCGCGATAATGATACCCACACGCTCTCGCTCGGTAATAATATTAATGGCTTCGTGTACTCGGGGACCATCGGGGGCCCCCGACAAAAGGAACATCGCGCGCGGCCCCTTACGCGGAGGATCGAGTCCTCCGTAAGAAGCGGCCTTGCGGAGCACCACGCCGGGTATTATAAGCGCAAAGCGTGGATTCGCGCGAGAGTTAACTTACACGGGCTCTCTCGCCCTCCCGTTCATTCATAAGGCCCGTATATCGCTATTCCCGATATAAAGCCGATGTGAATTGATAATTGGATGCGGGTAATCGAAAAACCTCGCAGATTGCCGCGATACGATCGTTGACCGGCTGATGACTGT